ATCTTCCATATTGCTTCCTTTAATCTGCTTCCTCCGTTTGTCCATACCTCGTTTGATATTCCATCCGCTCCTGCTGCTTTTTTATTTTTCATCTCCTTTATTACTTCTTCCACTTCCTCTTTTCTTATTCCTTCCTGATCTTTACAGCTATCTCCTGTTTCTTGATTTTCCTTTGGCGTCTCCTGCTTCGTTCCTACACCTCCTAGTAACTTCTTAAAATGCTCGTTCCACTGTTCCTCGCTTATTTCTTCATTCACTTCCTTTCTATGTTTCCTTTCTCTATTTATGAATCTCCATACCTCTTTTTCATTTTTTGCGTTCCTTGCTTCTTTTATAATTCGTTCTTTTTCCTTCTCCTTTTTTTCTTTTATCATTTCCCTGTATTCTTTTCTCTTCTTTATATATTCTGCTTTTTCTTCTTCCCCTTTTTTCCACTTTCTTAGCCTCTCTTTTGCTTCTCTTCTTAGTTCCGCATACTGTCCGTCCCACCATTTATTCTTTCTCTTCGCTTTATTGTCTATTCTAATTTCTTTCCAGCTTACCGCCCGTGTTACTGCATTTTTTATTTCTTCCATAAGCTCCTCCGGGTTCACTCTATCTATGGTTTTTTCTTCGATCTTCTCTCTATATCTTTCTACGGCTTCTTTAGACCAGTTCATTACTTTTTTCACTTTCTTCTCCTCCCTTTTTCTTTTTTCTATTTCCTCCGCTATTTTTAGTACTACATATTGGTGGTCCGATTCTATCTGCTCTCCAATTCTTACCTCTTCTGTTCTTTCCCATAGCTCCTGATTTCCTATTATATAGTCTATTACTGTCTCTCCTCTCCCTCCGGTAAAGGTGAACTCTCCTTCTTTATCTCCCTTAGTTCCGTTTAATATTCCTAGTCTTTCTTCTTCCAGAAATTCTATCAGCTTTTTTCCTTCTGCGTTTATTTCTTTGTCTTTTGATTTTCTTTCTTCTCCAAAGATGTCCATAATTCCTCCTTTTTCCCCTGTTCTTGCATTAAAGTCGCCTCCTATTATTATTCGCTCTCCTATGCCTCCTTCGTTCGTATATTCTTTTATTACTCTTATTTTTTTTGTCAATGTCATTATTTACGTATACACTAATAATCTTCCATTCTCCCTCTTTTGTTCTTACAATTCTTTCCACTACTCCTTCCTCTTCTCTCTCTATTCTTCCTTCTACTTCAAGCCCTTTTCTTAATCCGGTAATTATCTCTCCTCTTGCTCTTCCTCTTTTCTTTTCTCTTGTCGCTGGCTGGCATTTCCATACATATCTCTCTGGCATTATTTTTTTTACTTTGCTCCACTCTTTTTCTTCCACCCATGTTTCTAGAAGTGTTATTATGTCCCACTCTTCCACTACCTTCCAAAACCCTTCATTTTTCTCTTTTAATCCCGCTATGTTCCAGAAGCCTACTGTCATTCCCCTTTGCCCTTCTGCTATCCGTTTCTTCTTTCCTTTCGTTCTTCTCCTCTTTCCTCCTCTTTTCCTTCGTACAGTCTCTTTCTCATTTTTTCATTTTCTCATTTTCTTCCAGTCTCCATTCCTTCTTGTTCTCTTCGAAATCTTCTTCCATCTCTCAGTTTTTTTTCGCTTTCATTCCATTTCTTTTCGTGGCCGTCTATCCATATTTTTTGGTATCCTAATGTTGCTCTTTTCCCTTTCTCCCTCTCCTCCTTCACTATACTCCATAATTGTCCTTGAATTTTTCTCTCCGTTACTGTCATGTCATTATCTATGTATATCTTTTTCTCTATCCCCATCTTCTTTCTGTTTATCATTACCTCTCTCTTGTCCTCCCACCTATTCATCCTTACTAGTGTCATTTTGTTCTCTCGTCTGCCGATTATTTGTACCTCGTCTACTTCTACCTCTTTTTTGGTGATTTCATTTAGCAACTTTCCAATCTTCTCTCTTCTCTTGTCTCCGTCTTCTATTTCCGCTCCTTTTATTATTATATTATTTCTTCTTTTTTTCCTTTCTTCTACTTCGTTTTTTCTTTCTATTTCCTTCATTTTCTTTAACAGCTCATTGTATTCCCTCTCTCCCTCTCTCCTTTTCTCCGCCTCCTCCATTCTCTCCTCCAGCTGTTTTACTCTTTTTTCTATACCAGTTTTCAGCTTTTCCCATATCATTTCGCTTTTTCTGTATTCTTCTCTCAGGTCTTGTATCTCTTTCATCAGTTCCTCCTTATCTTTCTTTCTTTCTTTCTCTTGATCCTCCAATTTTGTCAGTATTTCCTTCAGCATTTTTCCTGTCTCCATGCTTTCCTTTTTCTTCTTCCTCTTTTTTTACTTTGTTTGGTGGTGATCTGCTTACTCTTCTCTCCTTATCAAACTTGTCTATAATTTCTTTCTCGGCTTTTTTTATTTCTTCACTCTCCTGCTCTCTTCTCCTTTTCTTTGTTGTCTGCAATCGACCCTTGGCTTCCTGCTCTGTTTCTTGTTTCTGACAGTTCTGCTGTCCTCGCGTATCTATTCTCTGTGTTCTTACCTCCTTTTAACGTTTCTTTATTTTCTTTCTGGTACATTTCCTCACTATTTTTGCTCCCTTTTCTCTCCTCCTTCTTTTCCTGTATCCGCTCCTTTTCCTGCCTTTCGGTGCTCCCCGTCTTCTTGCTTATTTCCTATGTGCGAGAGGCGCGAAGACTTGAGACCGTGCAGGCATGCAAATCCGTGATCGTGATCACGAGCCACGAACGTGCACGCGTAATCGGGAGTCTGATACACGAAAGCTACTTAAAGCTTATAACGTGGAACATCACCTACTGAACAGATCTACTGAAAATTCTATACGTTAAAGTGATGCGATGTTCAGTCGTGTCCCTAAACACCCGATTTTTATTTCCTATGTCACTTCTGCATTCTACGGGCCTCTCCTAACCTCCAAATTGTCGCCGCAACTGGTATTCGAAAATCTTCCTCCTGCTTCCTCTGCTCTGCTTGCCTTCTTTTCTCTCTGCTCTATTGCACTTTGCGCATGCAACTGTCTGAAAACAAAGTCGCCCTAAGGCGATATCACGGCAGAATATTTCTAATGAAATTATGCAAATGACATGCGTGCTTCTCCTTATACTTACTCGGTCGGTAACCTATATATATATATATATATATATAATTTTATAGAATTTTACATCCCTTCATGATTTTTAAATATATCTGAGCAGATCTGGATCTACATTCGGTAAATAATTATATATCGGCAGATCAAATTATATTTGGTCAAATCTAGTTATATCTATTCAGATCTGGCCCGACAGAAACAATTTGCAAATCTGGTCAGATCTGATAAACCATATCCATGTATGATCTAATACCATATATGATCATATCTTGGTAGATCTAATTTTTTTTTCCCGGGATGTGTGTATAAACAATACACATATAGGCGGGGAAGAGGCTTTGCCCCTCCCCCTGCAACAGAGATAGGTAGGGGTGGATCTCGGTTTGCATGGAAAGTTGAAAACCCGAACCGTACAATAGATCTCGTTTCGCCCTGTAAGCCAGGGATGGGGTGACCTCAATTCGACTGGACGATTCTTTGGACAGCATTGTACGATTCGGGTTTTCAACTTTCCATATGAACTGAAGTCCACCCTTCCCACCCCTGCTATAGGGGAAGGTGCAAAGCCCCTTCTCCGCCTATATATGTACTGTTTATATACATATATCACCAAATTACTTCTCTTAGCACTGACACAAACTAACCTATACTGCAAAATCATGCAGACACTGGAACCATGCACGCGTGTCACTGGTGCGCGCAACTTACTATAAGTTAAAATTTTTTATAAAACTTAATTATAATTAAGTTTTATGAAATAATTATTTTTTATGTACATACACTTAAATATATAACGAATAAAATAAAAAACTCTGCATTAATTACTATGTAATTTACTGAGAAAAAAATTCCTGAAAACAGGCCATTTTTGCGTGCAACAAAAGTATGTAATACCTTAAAATAATTTATAAAGTAATACAGGGCTCTTCATTCATAAGCTTATTTTTACTATCTGTCTTCATCAGTCTTATTCTCATTATTATATCAATGCCATTTGACGTTATTTATAAATCACTCATTGCAAGGTATATGATAGAATTTGTTCCCTCAATTTTAAATAAACTTGAGATTACGGCAAAAAAACACTAAGCAGTTCGATTATTATATGCATATCTCGTAATACAGAATAAAAGCCTTATACTTGAACGTATTGCTCATCATCGGTATCCCCTCCGTTGCTAATTCGTTCCAAGGAATTATGTAGTTTTATTTTTTCGTAATCAATATTCGTTTTCTTCTTACTCTTTACCTTCTCGTAACCATCTGCATTTGCATCTAACAAGAAATTATTCACTTGCTCATATGGCGGTTCCTCATTCTGCGCGACACTCATGTATTTTACACTTTCATAATTTGGATCGGTGTGATTCACAGATTCGTAATTTGGGTCCGTATCACTGTCACCAGAACGACAAACGGATGCATAATTCGGCTCGATCGTATCATGCGGCATGCTTTCATAATTTGGCTCCGAATCCGTGTCCTGATCCAATTCAACTTGCTGTCGCAATCGCACCTTCTCATAACCGGGATCGTCGTTGTTAGCGTTACTCACTTGTCTATGCTTAAATAGTGTTGAATATACGTCCGTGTTATTTTTCACAGGTATCGAATTAGGTTGATAGTCATTCTCCCGCGAACACTGCGGACGTAACATCTCATAGTTCGGATTGGATAAATTTGCGATTACTCTCGCAAAAGAGTTTCTTTGATTATTGCTAACGGCTTCGTATTCGTGATCAAATTCTAAACGCGACGGAACAATCGCATCAATTTTTGGCAATCTTAAAGAAGTGCGACTGTTACCTTCTGCATGAAAGTTGCTTGCAACAGAATTGATAGTGGTAGAATAATGTACGAGATCGGGTTCCTTCTTCTGTATTTCCACAGATTCGTGGCTGCACCATGACGCTCGGCTGATTTCTATAAGACTAAGTTTTCTATAAGTATTTGTTTCGGAATGTAGAGTGTTGTTAGAGCTTAGATGAGCATCGTTCTGCTGATCCTCTATTTCCCTTTTCTTCTTCATCACCTTCGCGTACATATCCTCAAGCGATTTACCCGCCGACAGTGAAGATCTCGATCTATCATCACTTTTATTTTTTTTATCAATAGATGCATATCCCTCTGCAGTTGTTTCAGGCGGCGGTGGTAAAGGAGAATTTGCTTGACGTTTTTCAGGTTTAGGAGATCCGAGATTGATAATGGAGCTATTGGCACTTGACGATGATGCTAAAAATAAGAAAAACAGTTGTATTATAAATATATTCTAAAATCAACACATTTATTTGGAGAACTAATAATATAACAAAATAATAAAAATAAATAGCAAAATCTAAAAAAAAATCATAATTTTGCTTCTTCATAGAGGAAGCTTTGTTTTCATAAACCTCGCGTATGGACCTTTGATTGCGCATAAAGCTAGTTCTAATCAACCAAATCTTAGAAAGAATTATATATGAAATAGGGGTAGAAAAGATCAAAGAAAAAAAATGTTTTTTAGTTTTCTTTGCTAATGTGTTCAGAATGTTCTGAACGCCGACAAATCACATTTTTACAAAATGTCCGCGCGCGCGCGCGTGTGTGTGTGTGTGTGTGTGTGCGTGTGCGTGTGTGTGCGCGTGTTTATATGTGTATTTGTAAAGACATAAATACTATTAGTAAGATATTTAACTTATTGGAAGGCAACAACAGCTCAGATGGCGCAGTTAAAGTATGCGCGAGTGGCTAGTGTCTCAGGATCCGCTCTCTCTTAATTGTAACATGCATTATGGTCATTGTACGATTATATTATACGTATCTCACGCTCACTTTGTAAGACAAAAAGTAAAGATTATAATTGACTGGCATAAGTCAAATTTTCTTGTCATCTAGGTTAAAGTATTTAATAATACTGCACTATTACATCCATTATTGTGTCTACCATCACATATTCCTCGGACATTTCTAATAACTAATTATTTTTTTATTTTTTTTTTTTTAAGTTCTTACATGCTTCAAAGATGAGTAATCAAGGTATGCGAATAAAAAACTTGGAAAAGTAGTAGAGCTTAATATTATGTTTAACATATTCCTTGCTTATATTTTAAGTATTTTCTGTTCTACATTATTGTACGAAAATTGTTTGTTACATTTTCATTGCCTTTTTTTTTATTTGGATCGAGTAGCTGAGATACAGGTCAATGAAAGAATTATACAATAAAGTGTATGTAATGTATTTTTTGTTCTCTTTTTCTGACGGTCTCTGTATTAAGACGGACCAAGTAGCTGAAGCAGCGAAGGAATTAAAAGAAAAGAATACTACAATTTAGTAATATATAATATATGTAATTTCTTATGTGCTGTAATTCGTCATGGGTAACGACTGTTGCGCGTCCCTAGCGGCCCCAAACAGAACCTTCCAAGTCGTGTATCGATGCGATTCAAAGATCGGGTGCGAGTTGTAAAATGAATTTTTTAATAAACATTAGTAACTTAATTGATTATGTTGGAGGTAGTTTGAGAGCGTATGTTGAAGGGGAGAATGTACTGAAGGCCACCTTATGTATGTTGGAATAATTTCCAAAAAAATAGAGGAAATAAAAATAATGTCTTTGTGCTTAAAAAACTCGGATTTGTTTGGTTCATCACACAAAATTAATTTAGTTATTAATATAGCTAATAGAATAAATATATCTTGCATATGTTCCTGCAAACAGGCCAGTCTGGTAAATGTAAACATAATGTTACCATATCTTGTACTTGCATTACCTTCAAATTTATTGTCCAAATGTTTTTTTTATTTTAGTATCCCAATCTGGATTTTTATTGTTTATATAAGTTAAGAAAGAATATGCAGTACTGGCAGTGATCCTTTTCTTTCTTTCGTGGAACCACTTACAGCTTTTTTGGGTTTGAGTATTACTGCATAATAAAACTGTATCTTCTACTGTAATACACACTTTTTGTTCGTAGAACTCGTTTTTTTGAGGAAGCATATTTTTCAAAGTAATATTACAAATACTATCATTTATCTGGGTAACATATAAAATCGTATCTTCCTTGATAGAAAAATATATTTGTGCACTAAGTAAAACTCTACAATCTTCATTTTTTATAACATTCATGCATGCTACAACCTTATTATTAACAGAACTTCTGTACCCTTTAATTGTTTTACTTAATTCACTTTTTAAAGCGCCTAAAAAATGTTGTACATATTTTTTACGTATAAATATACATATATATTTATATGTATGAATAATTCTCAGAAAGGGAACGGGCGAGGCGGAAAATTTAGCGCCAATCGCGGGGAGTGCTGGACGTGCGGGAAGACCGGACATTTCCGGTCCGAGTGTTCTGACCAGGGGGGTAACGCGACTTAGTCAAACTCTGCGGGGTGAGTTTCGCGAGGATTATCGATATATAATTTTATTTTATCATTTAAATGTTCTTTTGTTTCTGTGCGTTCTATTTGGTTTTTGCAGAAAAAGGGAATCCGGTGAGGTCGACGGTTCTTGTGGAGACAATGGCCGAAGACTTCTTCGGAGGGGTTTTCCATTGACAGAAGACTGCCTTGCTCACGGTTTTTTGAGTCGTGGTTTTTCCCGTGAGACTTTGAGCAAATGCTAAGGCAGGGACTCGGGGAGCCTGAAAAGGCGTAGGGTCCACACAAGTTCCCCCCCCCCTTGACTGTAGATATAAAAGAACGGCGACATGAAGAGGCGGCGAGGGAGTTACGGAAGTTACTTCGGGAAAGAGCGGAGCTTCTTGAGGTCATCTCGAACCTACGGAGGGGATGAGCCTGGCCAGCTCTCTCCGGAAGAGGAACGGTCGAGGATCGGAGGTGAAACCACCAGGGACCAAGAGGGACGGGGTCCAGTAACCCAGGGCAGCAGCCCGGGGAGGACAAGTTAACCGTCCGGTGCTCTGGGGTTCGCAGTGAAGAGAAGCTGGGACCGTGGAAAGCTACCCTCCCGGATTGTCGGAGCGACAATCTTAAGAGAGGGGGGGGGGTAGTGTTACGCCCGTGAAGTACGCCCGTGCCGCGCGACATGTGAATCGCTCGCTACGTTGTCTTTCGTCCTTAGCGACGGCTGTCTTGTTGATAATTATGACGTTCAGATTTCGCTCTGGTTTCCGTCACGTTCGGACGTGTTTACCTAAGCTCCTTGTACAAACGAGTCATTGATAAAGATTCCTTTTCTTTAACGAGCTTGATTTCCTCGTGTGAGTGTCGGAGTACGCGTCGCGCGCGAGTGCGAGTGTGAAAATGAGGCGGACATTCGTCGAGCGTAACAATATTAATAATAACGTAATAGGCTCACTTGAATAAGTCAATGATAAATGTGAGAGGCATGGGAGCCAAGCGCGGTACTTAATGCGCAATAAATTTAACAAGTATAAGAATACGTATATGAAAAGTATATTATGTCATTAAATACAAATAACCCGACGTTTCGACCCTTTTTTTGGTCATCCTCAGCGTAAAACAATAATATTGGATTCGGCGCGACGTATTTCCTAAATCCTACCTCAATTACAATATTTAGCGCAGTCAAGACGGACGACAAACCATTCCGCGCGGTCAGAATGGTCAACAACGGTCCATCTTTTAGCGCATTATGACGTGTCAAAGCTGGCGCAGTCATAAGACACTCGAGGTGTGGTACACAGATGTATTTCCATTTGGGTGCCTGATCCCCGGTATGGTTTAATATATATTAAACTTATACATATACATTATATGTCCACTTTTATAATTAACATACATTAGAAATCCACATGCTGGACTGTACCACGTATCCGTTGTCTTTATACGGCTCTTGACAATAATTGACATCAATACAGTTAAGGGGATCCTATAGTGGAGGCCGAACTTCCTCGACGTCGGTAATGTCAACATTTCTAATCCTGTTTTCTATGTTATATATCTATATCTGTCCTTGTCTAACGAGAGGCATTTGTCCTTGTTCGATTGCTGCGCCATTTCTCGCTGCACACAATACTGCTTATCCTATCAACCTGAATGTGCTTTTGCTTAATAAAACTTTATTAGAGAAAATCTTTTTTCTAGGCGTTGAATCTTAGTTCTATTTACACAATATTGTTTCTACATGTTGTCCCTAGTCCGCCTGGGTGTCATTTTATATATATAAACTGCAGTATTTTTGTTATTGTCGTCAGATGACAGCTGTATGTGTCCAAATTAGTAAAATTTTTAATTTTTTTTGTTCCCGATATGAAATCGTGAGTCGCGGACTAGATTCTTGTGTATTTTAATTCTGTAAAAGAATTTTGCAATTCTGTAAAGCCATTTCAAAGATTTCTTAAAATAAAAAAATGTCGATAATTACTGCCACTATAGGATCCCCTTAAGAGTTGAAAAAGAAAAATCGATTTTTCTTCATTCCGTTCTCCAACTTCCCGTCACTCATAGTAAAAAAAATTAATCGGTTTCTGAATTGATCAAATGTTTTGAAGTCCATAAAATCATGGCATTCAGAAATAGAAATAGGCTACAGTGTTACGTGTGTGATGCTGTAGTGCGACCAGCACAATCGAGACGAATTGACGGCGATGATAACTTGAATAAGCGAAAAATCGCCATTATCAGACGCGATGCAAATAAATCGATTACCACTTGATATAACGGATCTTACTAGAGTTTGCGCTAATTGCAATCGTTCTATTTTCAATGAAATGGAAGCTATTGAGCGTGACCCAACTTGTTTGCGATTGAACGTATTGACACAAACCTCTAATTATACCTGTACGACCTGTAATCAATATGCTAATATACAGAGATTATCAGTTGAGTGCTGAGTAAATGTTTTTGTCACAAGGAATATTTATATACCTGAGACAGCTAAATGTTGCAGAATCCACTTAGATGATAATGGCTTGTTGTTACAATGCTTATTGGATGAATTGAAGTTTGTTAACAGACCGTATGTGATACGTGGACAGCAGTTACAAATTATTCTGCAAGAATTTCAAAGAGTTAGTCAGAACGGTTGCTTATATAATGATGAAAATAGTTTTACTGAAAAAGAGTTTAAATCGATAGCACCCATATCAAAGGATTAGTTCCGCGAGTATATACATTTTGTGATCCAGCACCGCAAGAAGGGGGTGTTACACAAGTATGTCAAAAAAAGATCTTCTATTTTTTATCTGTAAACTACGTCAGAGCCTGAGTGATGAATTTTTGAAAGTCATCTTTCATTATCCTAGCAGACAAACCGTAAGTT